CTTGATTATATATGTAGTAAATTACGTCCTCTCACACGTTAGAGAGTCAGAATCCTCGTTTTGTGGGTTCTATATACCGAAATTCCATTGATATCTATTTGTACCCACTGTTTTTTGTTTGTGTCCATTCTATTTTTACGAGGATAATAATCTTCCGAGGAATGGGTAGTCTGTATTACCCAGCGGGTGAGATTGATTCTCTCCAAAACCAAAACTCACTTCTCCTCCATCCGCCCCCATGAACCGCCTATAGGTAATTACATCGCATCGCGAGAGAGTAATAGTGACACAGCCTCATCGTCGTCGTCGCAAAATTTCGAATCGAGATCGACCAATCGCGTCGAGTAGGATAATGAGATTTCCCTCCCTTCTTTTTCCAGTCGTCTTAATTTCTGCAATACTTGTGCAAGAATACACACACACAACAACGCATACACGCAACTAATTTTTCTGGTGCTATCTGGTCTATTCCAACCATCTCAACGGTGACTCGTCATTGAGGTTTGACACGTGGACACTGTCCACGCGGATCCTGTTGAGGTGAGTTTAAACCTGTGAAGGTGGGCTCTGAAGTATCCATGTCCCGTCAGAAGCTGCGTGAGGTAATAATTACATTATTTACCCCATCGTTCATTTCATTGATCCAAGATTCAACTGTAGGAATCAGTCGGTAGGTCCTCGTTCCCTTGGAGGAAGTGTCCCATCGCTATTGTTCCAAACAGTTTTGCACCCCGTCTCATTTGTCGTAACGGCTCTGGAGTTCCCGATACATTATATTATTGGAGTCACTCCGGCTAAAAACCTGCTTCATTTGAAAAGGTGCGGAACGCTCATGCAATCGAGCAGCTGACAGGATATTGTAATGCCCACAAGTATTCTCGGGATATGTGGGCGCCATGGTTTCATCTCCTGGTAACGATTGATGGAAGTGAAGGGAGGCAAAAATCAGTCATTATCGCTTCATGAAACAAAATTTCAAATTTATTTCTGAACATGAGCTGCCCAGGGAAGTTACAGGTCACTAGAGATGGCGACACATTACCTTATTAAAAACTTATGTAGAAGCTCATAAACTTAAACAGTTAATGAACCAAAATCCTTAAACACTAACTCATTAGTAACTTATTTCTAATGATTCATGCATAAAATTTTACTACAATACAAGGCGAGCGGCCATCTAGTCTATCGTACAAAAATGTCTGCCAAATGAGCCCCGCGTCATACTTACGGGAGATAGTTGACTTCGGTTTTAAATACCGGATTATTCCCTGGGTGGCGTGTCGCAGACCGGCGGATGGCGGTCCCTCATTCGAAGACGGCGGGCGGCCTCGGTCCGACTCACTGGTGTTCTCCTCGGCTGGCAGGTGTAGTGGCGAAGGAGGCGTAACTCGGCGGGCTCAGTCAGGTTGAGGACAGCACCGGTCTGGCCGGTAGTTTAGTGGCGGGCTTTGAATGGGCCGAGATATGGACTAGGCAGCGGTGCAGATATCTTACGCGGAAGTGACGCAGGATCTTGCATTCCCGCCCAGTATTCCACGGTATTCACAGTGCTTATTCGAGATCTGCTTAAAAAGTGCTTATTCGAGAATCTTGAATTCTAAGTGGTTATTCGAGAATTGCAATGCTAAGTTTTATTCGAGAATCTGAATGCAGTGTCCATTCGAGAATCTGAATCCTAGTAAGTTTCTCTGCGCATCTTGCGTCCAAGTTACTCCGGTTTTTCCCCCCCGCTCAAAACGTTTCCGAACCTGCAGATCGCCTTTCTCTCTCACGATGAGATCATAGGCCTAACAAATGCGTCTTAATTTTGAAGTTTCGGCCATCGGGTTGCATCGTACGAAATTTTCCAGGGAGATTCTCTTTCTTACTCGGGCCCTCTCTTCCTCTCTTCTCATCTCTCTCTATCTGTGTGACGATTCCAGAAGATTTCTCGAGACTGTGAACATTGTTCGAGCGGTTGCGTTATTTTTCTTGAGGCATAAATTTGTCAGCGGAGGCTGAATGGCAGCAGCAACTGTGAGTTTGTATAACCTTTGGGAAATTTGGATTGCCTGGCGCGGGCGCGTGAAATAGGGCGCGGCGGGTGGAAGGAGCGGCCCGGGCGCGTCTTGTTGGTCTTGAGCGGTGGTGGAAGGAGGCAGGGGGGCGTATATGAGGGTAATAAATGTGGTCTGCACTAAAGAGGCCCTCATAGCGGTCGTCGGCAAGCTGTAATGCGTGTCCGAGCCTGGCGGTCGTTAGGGCTATCGAACACGAAAGCCCTCCGCGAACCTACTTAACTGTGATGGGAGTATATTCGATACGAAATTATTATAATATTTTTGGTGACGCACAATATGATGATGGAATTCTCTAGAAATTTCCGCATTCTTTCCCTATCTGTGAGTGCCAATAAGATGATCCATAAAGAAAACGATATAGGCGGTTGCCTTCATTCATCACCCTTATCGTACAGTTGTCAAGCTATTGCTGACATTACTTTTCTAATGTGCCTCATACACTGACTCCATCTTGACGATTTATAGGCCATCCTTAACAGTAGGCAATGTTAATCCGCAGCAGTAAAGTTTTAGGACCTCTTTCAACCATCTGTTCTCTGTTCTTGCCAACAATGTAACGACAAACTAACAGCATCGACTACTGAACGATCTTTTGCGAAAGCCATATTGGTTCTCTGTGAGACTCATTTTTCTAGTGGCATACTCGTATTCCTGTTCATGAGTATTGGATATGCTCAAAAATCGTATCTGCAGCAATAAGCATGCTACCGCGGTGCGATTTCATAAGGTTTTCCCCTTGAGAAACGAAGTTACTAGTTTGTTTCTTCTATCTCTGAGGAAATGTCCCTTTTCTCAAGAACATTGAGGGGTAGAAATCCCGAAGATTCTACTACCACAGATATCGTAGCGTTACGGCGTTTTGGGAATTCTATCAATCTGAAGCTTGATATGCTATTTCTGATTACAACCAGTACCCTTAATCCGTATGACCGGTGGTACATTTTTATATCAAAGTGTGTTATTTTTCATCTGGTTCGCCGGGGGTGATGGGCAATAAAGTTTCCACACTTTTGGAGAAGAAAGAAGGGTTCTGGTTGGAGAATGGGGAATGACGTTTATACAATCTTTTTTACAAACATCACGATGAGCTTTTATACCCAAATACGTTTACTTTCGAGGATTGATCGGGTTTTCTGGCAATTTAATCTTGTGCTTGCAATTGAACAAAGGTATCTTTACTACGAGCTCCCTGGTACAGTCTCCTGGCTGCAAGCAGTGACGACGCTGTCGAGATGTCTTCGTTGCACCGGTAAAAAAGTACAGGTCTATAGTAGGTTTCTTGTCTGAGCATATCTGCATCAGAAGCTGATTATTCAGTTCATAATTTGGATAACGTTTGTATCGCCCCTGCTGGTACAAAATTCTTCCTCATCAAATGCTTTGGCTTTCCACCCCTTACCTTACATCCCGTCTGTCTGTGCCTACTATAAGGCCTACACCGTTCAGACTATTTTCATCAACATTGATATTCCTTGATTGATCTAACGAACTCGAGGCTCTAGAGTTTGAAATGGATATTTTGATATTTTGGGAGTACTTTAAAAGTCGTTTTAAAAACTTAAATGTTCATGAACATTTTTAGAAAAACTCGTTTTCGCGTAATATCTGTTTCAAGTTCATTCTGTTTATTTCAAAAATATCATAAACGGTTCCAAATGTTTTTTTAACGGATAGAGTCAAGAACTCATTGAAAATGGCGCATGTCTAATTTTTGTCGAACCCTCTGCATTTCGAAAAGCGCGTAAGTTATATAAACCATGCGATAAACCATTTGTTTCTTAAGCGTCCAGAATGTAGTACTCAGAATGGTGGTATAGTGGTAACTTGCCTGGCGTGATGACGGTAACAACCTTAGTTTTAATTTCGCTGCGAAGAAATATTCACTAAAACACTATTCAAATGTGGTAATATAATAATGCGTCGCCGTTACAAATAACGTGAGGCGTGTGCTGTTGTAGCTCCACTAGATTGATCTGATTAATTAGTGATTCCGGGCACGTCGGTTGCTGTTTAGTTTAGTTGTGTAGTGCATGACTTTTCTATGAAGGACAGCGATGATCTTCCCTAGCTGGATGGTGAGATCCGGCGCCAACCTACCGTCGGCTAACGGAGTTTCCCCAAACAGGAATCTCCCACCTGCGGGACACCACCCCAGCCGCGGCATACTTTTTAACATCCGACCGGTCTTCCGGTATCAGTGGAAAATGCTTCTTCCATTCCGGTAATGTAATCATGTGTAAATTTACATTATTTACATCCGGCGCCCTTATTCTTCTTTCCATTCCCCATGCATGCATTGGTCTACATTTCCTACTGTATGTTCTACCCATTACGCATCCTTTCCAAAGCCTGCTCTGTATTTTGCCACAAAATTATTTTTGCTTTCCTTTTTTAATACGCAATAACGATCAAGATCTTGACTTCCACCTTATTTGTAACTGCCTCAGCGACTTCTTCACCTATCTATTCTAATCTTCCCTTACTTTAAATTTCTATCCCCAAGTCTCAACAGCTGCCTTATGTACCCGTGTTTTCATAGGATCATAGAGATGTTTAACTCTCCAATAATCTTGTATATCCAATTCATTTGCAAGACGTCTTTGAGAGACATGTTCAATACTTTAACCTTTGCAAGGTACTAATACTAACGTATTTAGGTTTATTGAGTTTTTCCCTTGTGTAAATGACATCTCTTGCTGTGATGTTACTCTTGGGAATGCTATTTTAGTAATGAGATGATCTATACCACACTCAACCCCTCTAAATACTTTGACGTCTTGAATTATAATTTTTCAATTTTGTTTCACGACAACTTAATTTGTGATATATTTCATTATTTTCCTTTTCCATTACCAGCAAAATTTATATCTTTGTGACAAATATAGAAAAGTCATAATAGAATAGTTCTTCCCATTACAGATTTCTATTAATCGCTTCCTGTTATCGTTTATTAGTTTCTTCCATTTTCCCCATTACACCATATTCTTCATTATCAATGTGCTCATTGAGATCCCTCATGATTAGAAGTTCCGTGTTGGAGGCACTATCTATCACCTGTACTAAGTCTTAAAAAATATATCCTTTTTCATAACGAGGGAATCATCCGTAGGGGCATATATTCCAATATCTACAAGGGAAATTCCACATATTTTAATTTGTATTCTTATAAATCTTTCATTTATAGATTCCCAATTTTGAATCCTATTTTCGACTTCATCTTTTACTAATAAAGAGACTCCTGCTCTTGTTCTCTCTTTTTTACTCCACTCCATAATTGGTAATATCCCTTAATTTCTTCTGTCTTTTACCTTTATTTTTCGTTTCGGTACGAAACACCAATTCCAATCCCTTATCTTTAATTTCCTCAACAATGTCCTTTAATATCATTTAAAGGTTCTGCACATTCCACGTGCCAAAAGAACAAGTCCGTTTTCGTAGCGATTGTCGATGTACATTTACGATTTCCAAGGCTTTATACCAGCTAACGTAGTATTTTCCTTTTTTCCAATGTAGGTTACTGACCTTTACCTCCTATGGACAGTGTTTATTTGTCCTATCCTACATTCAGCTCCATTTGTTCATTCCGAACACTGAATGCAGTGTTGTTTGGTAACTAACATTTTTACTTTTATTCATTTCTACTTCACATGCTTGGAAATTATCACACATGACCTATCGATAACATATTTTTTATTATTATTTACCTTGTCACTTCTAATCTTCGTTATGATTCCTATTTTCGTAAATTCTTATTAGGTTTCTTGTGATGATCCCAAACAATCAGTCTACTACCTTCTTTATTTTTTTTATTTCCAATTATTGATCATCTATATTCGAGACAATTCTGCAAATTACCCATGGATTTTGATACCACCGTTACCTACAAGACACATCCACTTGAACCCTTACACACGTCACGACAGTCTGCCTGTCAGACTAACAGTCACACTAACCGTTAGACCCCTTGGCCCCCCGGCCCTTGCCTCCTGGCCCTTGCCTCCTGGCCCTTGCCTCCTGGCCCTTGCCTCCTGGCCCTTGCCTCCTGGCCCTGTCGGATCACCTGCCAGACTATTTTTTTCTAGTACATCTTATTTCTCATGGTATTATTGCTGTTGTATTAAGTGTATTGCCATCTATGCCACTGAACCATTGAATAAACGTAGGATTATTTCCCCCACAGTATTTTATATTTTTACTTACCAGACTATTTCTAATGAATTTACATTACAACTTCCCTTCGCAATTAGTTTTGTACCAGGGAAAATAATTCTAACCAATAATGCGGCGTAGCCAACGGTGTAAACTGTTTTAAAAATAGTTTCGTGTGCTGAAAATTTACATTTTGCCCAGCTTTTTCCATTTATTTATAGTCGCATCGACATCAGGTCATTAGCGACTTAAAATTCGTACATTGATTTAACAATAGTAAATACATAGTTGTTAATATATGGTACAGATACTGGTGTAATACTAGATTTAACATATTTTAATCTCAGTTAACATATTGTTCGACCGTAATACATTGCTTGGTCAATTTTCGTACGTATTCACATATGTATTTCGTAGTGAATAACCAGTTATAGACATTCAGATTGATTACGTTTACTCACTCTCATACTTCAGTAGGTCACACAAAACTTACATTGCGAGAATGCTTTTAAATTAAATTTTGATTAATATATTTATGATTTTGCAGAATTTGATCACTAGACGTAAGAATTAACTCGGGGCTCGTATTATGAAAGTATTTTTGTGATGCCCAGCTTTGTTCAAATATGTTTTTTACGTATCAGACATTGGACTTACCAATGAATCGTAGAAGCTAATACTCGTAATGTTCTACTATTATATAACTTTCATTTACCTCCAAAATCTTTTTTCGTCGTTTTTATAACTTAGGTAAAGAAAAATACTTAAATTGATTAGTTCTTATTTTTTACTTAACTTTTATCTTCGGATATTTTAAAGGATTTTTCTAAAACAATGCCCCCGCTTCTGTTCTACGTAGTTTTGGCTATGCGTTTGATTTTACGTTTGCATTTTATTTGAAATAAACTTCAGAGCCATAGGTCTATTGGCGAACGAGGGCTCGCTAAACATACTCCTAACGAGTGTTTTCACGAACCGCAAGGTCATTTGGAAGACGACATTCAATTCTCGCATGAAATTTTGTAGCGTCAAGTATTGACTTATGAGCAACAGCATCCTGCAGCTTAGGAACGCTGAGTTAGGCTGACACGTGCAGGAACTACTCGAGGTGTTGGGGCAGTTCGTTATGCAGTCACAGATTGAGTTGCGGCAGCTGTCAGCACGCTGAGAACTACATGTCATGTAATCATTTTCAACACATATCGTTTTCAAATTTTTTTAAAAGCTTGTAAGTATCTGAATCATTTGATATATGAATTTTAAGATACGATTTACCCTTTATTGAAAGAAATTGTTCCTGTATACATAAGCAGCAGTTCAGTAAGACAGTTTTTTTAGATGTACACACAATACTTTAAATAAAAAACGACAAACTAAATATAAATATTAATTAGATTGCTGATGAGGTACATGCGTTCTAATAATTATATATGGTAAATTAAATTTGTGGTCTGGTATCAAAAAATTTATAATGTTAAAAACGTTTCGTTTGCATAGCGATCATTCTCAGAGTTAAGACTAAAATAACAGGAATAAAATTACATTAAGAAATTTAGAATGTTATCATTGTATGCGAGATGCGTAAGCAAAATGGACAAATATGTACAAGGAGACAGTTGGTTCAAATTAACAAGTCATGGCTGCGTGGCTCTTGAGAATTCTGCGTGTGTCGCGGCGGGCCGCAGGAGGAGACCGCGCTCTGACCCTTCTAAAATGGTATTTTAAAAACAAGGCTGCCGCATTTGTAACATAAAAAATTGAGATTTGGCGTTGTGTAGAGTTTGCTGAGAAAACGTTAATTAAGAGAGTATCCTTTGAGACAAAATTATTTTGATGCTTTTTAGTGTTTTCAATTGAAATACGGAAAACTAATAATTCGCCATTAGTGAACTTCAATAAATAAATAAAAAAGTAAAGGGTGCGCAGTAGATGGATAGGGTTTAATATTTTCTTTTGCACTCGTTAATAACGTTTCTAAGACTGTAGGAGCCGCAGTTTCTTCGAGCTACTGCTTGAAACCCCAGTTGTACTTGATAAGACACTGCTTTGGCGAAGTTTCGAGATCGCGGCTTCAAAATTCCAGACCTCTGCGAAGGCGGTGTGAGTGAAGCCGTGGCTCATTCAAATACTAGAAAATGAGTACTTGAGACGTATGGATGAATTTCAAGGCAATGTTAATAGGCCCAAGACCCTGGACATAACAGGACTGTTATAAGATATATAAGAATGCGTGAATTTGGAATTTTGGAGATTTCGCTTATCAAAAGAAACTGAAATATTATTTAACCTTATCATAGTGAGAAGAGGTCGCATTTGAACGTGATTGAAAGCTCACTTCAAGCTCAATTTTCTTTATTTATGAACAAAAATAAAAAACTCATTTTTTTACAACACATTTTTGGACCATGTTCAAGCTGAGCTTTTTTTTATTCTCATTTTCAATTTATTGCTTGTTCAGTTATTTTCCCCATGACTTTCCATTCCCTACAATTCCTCTTCGTAGATTTTTTTAGAAAAAAGAAATTAAAATATGGTAATTAATTTTTTTATGAGCACTTTCACCTTTTAATCCAAGAAAACTTAATTACTTCCTATAAAACCAACCCACATGCATGAACTATTTTGGCACTGCAAGCAAATGACTTATAACATTAATTCATGTGTGTTAGTAATAAACAGTTATCACTTTGCCTTTTTGGGGATTACAGTAGAAATTGCGGCAGAACTGGAAGCATCATTAGATTAGTTGTTATTAAATCTCTTTCAGAGACCCAGACAAAAACATTGATACAAAAACAATTTTATAGAGAAAAAAAACCTTAAAATTGCAAGGATCTATTAGAAAGAACAAAATACATATTGCAGGTTTTTGAAGAACTGTTTGAAGAACGTAATTTTAACATTTATTACCGTTTGTAATACAAAAATATGTTTAACATTTAGCAAATCTAACAGAAAACTTTCACCTCCTCACAATATTAACTTCGTATCTTTATTTTGTCTTATTAACTCAGAAGGAAGATCTATAAACCTCTAAAAAAAGAATAGTTTGTGATAGGTGTTATCAATAATCGCACCAATTTTTACAAATATTCGAACATTTACAGGATGTTATCGAGTTCTTTATCAAGTAGTTATATTTTTTTAAATCTTATTCACGAGACCAATCAATTCCCTATCAAATACAAAAAATAAATATGTCTGGTTGCACAGAAGAGCAGAACTGCAATAAGGACATTTTGGATTGAATATACAATAATTACATATAAAAATGTTTACTTCATAGAATCACGATTTCACCTAAATTCTGGTATACATGTCTGTTGGCTTTTTTTTTATTTTTTTTTTATTTTATTTATTTTTTTTTTTTTTTTAGATGCCTGAGCGTGCAATTCCCGCCAATACGACGCCGCTTAGCCGCAGAAGCCCATATACGACCGCCGCTTGGGGCCGCTTAGGCCCTGGGTGGAGCCCACCACCCAGGGCTGTCTGCAGTATGGAACAATCTCCGACTGGCTGAGGCGTCCTTGCGGGCCACCACCCTTCGCTTCGGCACGCCTTTAGAACAGCGCAAGCCACCATGACGTTGCGCGTCCGCCACGCAGAAATCCTAGGCACGTTCCTCCCCCTCGAAGGGCCATGGAGCGGTCTCCTCATGCCAAAACCCATGCAAAGACCTGTTAATTTCAGATCATACGGTCTCGTTTATATGTTTATAAGGAGGATAATACACAATTTATAGTTATGAAAGTTTATCTTAAGCGTCCGGTGTGGCGATCTATGGTTGCCTTTACTAATCTGCTGCTTCCTGTTGATACAGGTACAACAATTTCGTTCCAATAAATGGCGATTTGTTTTCTTACAATCATTTAGCTAACCGGTGCATGCATAACAAACTTCCGTTCAATTTTTTAAAAAATGAATCTCGGACGACATTTAAGTTCTAACTACAGTAGAAATTGAAGGTACCTGACCTTGCTTACAAGCTCCCGTATCTGAAATCTGCTGGTGTAAAGAAACTGGCCCAACTCTCGGGAAGGCTCCTCCACGCCTCACCAGTCCCAACTCGCAGCAGTCCCTGATTGGAGAGGATTGCTGCTTCGAACTCTAATACTGGTTGCCACACTTTCTGCTAAGGAAACTGAAGTTTGCCGTCTTCCGAAGGGACCTGGCGGTTCGGCAAACCACTCGTTAGGAGAAGTTTTATGGAGCCCTCCTTCCCCAGTAGGCCTATGGCTCCAAAGGGTATTTCAAAGAAAACTCAAAACTAAAAATCAGGTGCTAAACCACTAAATTTAAAAGAAATTGAAATTTAAACAGAAGAGGAATCCTTTATATTTTTGGAAAATGCGTTTAAAAAATACGATGAAAATAGAAAATGAAATAATGAAAACGAAAAGTTTTACTTAGGAACTACATGACATACGATGTAAAGACGAGCAAGTCATTTTGTAGGAGAAAGAAAAATTGTATACAATCATTAGTACAATTGTCTGGTAGAAAATAGTGTAGTAACGTCTGATAAGTAAAAACAAAATACGGATTTAAATAATAATAATAATTAATAATAATAATAATAATAATAATAATAATAATAATAGTAATAATAATAATAGTAATATAATAATAGTAATATAATAACGGCATACACAGGACAATACTTCAACAGCAAAAAACACCTCAGAAAATACGTTGTATGCAGTTTTTAAACTCTGATTAAAATATTGAAAGTACTAGTATATACAAAGTTTGCCTTGCACAAACTTGTTTGATTCCAAATTGATGCAAGTGACTTCTCCAATACTTCTAGTAGATCCACCCTTACAGTTCAACTGCAGCAGTCCCAAATACAATGTTGCCGCTCGAATATCAATACCAGCTGCTTCACTCGTTCTGCAAGAATTGAAGTATGCCGTCTTGGAAGTGACCTTGCGATTTAGCATAACACTCGTTAGGAGTTGAATGCATGTCTCTTTCTCCAGAGGACCATCGGATCTCACAGTCATTTCAAAGAAGATACCATGAAAACCAGAAAAATATTACTAACAATAATTATGAAAAGCAGCATTTCGGGTAAAACTTTATGTAACGAAAAACGACAAGTTAAAATCCTGCGAAGAAAGAAAATAAACTTACTGTACTTATCAACTATGGTGTCTAGGCAATTCTGTAGAAATCGTTCTACAACACATTCTAATTAAATAAGTAAATTTATTTAATTTTAAATACGTATATTTAATAATTTTAAATTTGTTAGGTCAAAATTTAAGAATGAAGAAAACTCACCATCGAAATTTCCTAGGCTACACGTAAGGGCACACAGGCAAGAACAGAAGATGAAGCATTATCATTTAAGGGAAACACCTCGGGGGAAAAAAAATTAAAACTGCAGAACAAATAATGAAAAGGAACTACAGGTAAAATATGCATTACGTACGTACATGAGAGAACCTAAGGGAAAAAAAGTTAAAACCATTAGAAATAGCTTGGTACAAAATAAATTTTGTAAAAGCCTTTAAATTCAAATTCATTAAATATGCTGGATGAAAAAAAATGGCATTAAGAAAACAATATTCCAAGGCACAAAACATTCAAGGCTAAGTACTTCAACAGCCCAGTCTCTGATAAACTGTATATTTAGAGTGTGCAGGTTTACTTCGTAGTTTGAACCAGCTTGAGATGTGGTATGGACCCGCCTTGGTCTTCAATCACAAACACGCAATGTATTGCATTTTAGGAGTAGTCGTAAAGAGAATTTCTGCAACTTCTCCGATTAAATGTTACATGAAAAGAACTTGCTATTACTACGCGGCTTGTTTGAATTCTGATTAGATTGGTCAATTACACACACTTCACAACCTCATGTGCAAACGAATACACGCGAAACGCCTTTACGCGCCTTTGGGTTACGCTAAAGTGTTTCTTAACTGAACAAAAATACCTCACGCTAACGGGAATCTTACGTTGGTAAAGCTCAGTTATCGTTTCAATGGATAAAGGTTTACTTGGATCTATCCTTCCAGCAACATTTAGTAAATGTAGAATCCATTCGCTGTGGTTTTCTTAAGTTTTTTTCTTTCTCCGTCTTTGTAGGAAGAAATACGTAATACGTAATGCAACTTTTCGATGGCAGCAGATGTATATAACGTCGGTTACAAAGGAACACACAATCTGACATCAATGTGTACTCCGTTAATGTAAACGGTCTGGCAAAAAAAGTTAAAATAGCACTAATTTCCAGTCAATGTAATGGTTTAAATTCATACATTGTCTTTGACAAAACATCACAGGAGGATAATGCAATATCCTGTAACCTTAAATAGTAATAAATTCAGCTTACATTATATGATTTTTTAGTTGTATGCAAATAAAATCTTTGCCCTAACCATCCTTTTCCAACTTAAAGATTAAAGAAATTTTAGTTAAAACTGAAATAATCTTGCTATGAATTTATCCTGTAGATCGACAATGCAGTAATTACATCACAACAAGTAATACTTACCTACATAAAATAAGGAGATAACACGAGCATAAAATTAACTCACATCTGTCATTTTAGAAGAGCACCTTTAACCACAGTATTATATCATACGTAGACAAGGTGCCACGTAAATAATGCAGGAAACAATACCAATAAAAAAATTGATGGAAAAGGCTCAAAAAAGTAACGTTGTTCACACATTATTGAGAATGTCTTAAAGCAATGGGATGTAAATGAAAAAATCCAACCTGAAATTACATGTCAATAATAGTACAACAAAAATTACAGAAAGAAATGATGTTTTTACATGAATTAGTCATCATTCTCAATGAAATCCATGCGTTGTGTTGTTGACCTCGCTAAATATCGTAAAATTCGACATACTGAATTACGACTTTCACAATTGCTCTTAATGTTTTCGCGTACATTTACGCGAGAATATATCGCAAGAGATGACATACATTCTCATCCATTGCGCCTCATTGGCTTTGAAAATTGAGAGCTTTCGAAAAATAAAGCAAACTTGGGACAGGCTGCGCGGCGAGGCAATCTACATCTTCATTTTGTTACTGTATTGCATGGTTGCAGGTTACAGCTTGCAAATTCTGGCTACGTACGGTTGCTCAGGCGATAAGCGTCTGCAAGGTAGCGAAAATAAGCCTGGCGACCCCCGCTGGCCGAGGAAATTCGGACACGAAAAGCACGCGTAATAGCAAAAACGAAGCATTTTTTCCCTAGGGGTTTCTCCATCCGACAGCCAGTTACCTTAAAGTTCCGACAGGACGCAAATTCGACCATATGTACATTACATACCAACACACTTGCGGGTTTCTCTGATCTGGAGTCAGGAGAACGCGACACACAAATGACAGGCAAGATAACCAACTATGCCCAAGGCTGCAAAAAAACTGGTCTGCAAAAAAAAACAGGATTCTCAACGCAATTCTTGTCATAATACACCAATACATAGGCGACACCCGCGATATGTTTCGTCACAAACACCTGTTCTCTGCCGGCCAGGGTAATGCAGTAACTGCGTCAACGCTTGACGCCGCATATCACTTCCGGATGGGCGCCTTTGAATATCCAGGTGCAGAATGGTGTGGCGTTTGAAAAGCCGCCGATTAGATCACACACTGCACATCCCTGAGCTTCAGCACTAGGGTTGCTCCGGGGTCATGCCAATTTGACGCGTTCATTATTGGCTGTACCAAAACAGAAACAATGACTACAACTATCAATGCTCTGCTGCGACGAATGCTCTGTGACTTCAGCAATAAGAGTGCGCAGCGCAAAGGCGCGATATAGCAATCTGCGCGAGGGCGAGATGTACTGAGTCCTTTTCGCAACAGCGCAAAGAACAGATGGATTAAGATTGTGTATACTATCGTTTGTCATTATAAAGGGCACGCGCTATTTTTGGTGTTGACCATCACTCGTCTCACCACCTACTTAATTAAAAGACTGCAAGATATGTCCTCCTTGCGTTTAAAGAACTCAACAAAATACAAGGATTAACGGATGAATATCAGCAAAAATACATCATTAAAAATAGGTTATATAAAAATGTTGGGAAATACAAATCATCAATATAAGTTTGTAAAACCGATCGACATATTTTCCAATTTCGCATCCAAACAATGTTGGAAAAAACCACTTGAAATTTTAAAAGTCACATCTCAATTTAACAAAACTTATCCTACATTGTAATATTAAATTTAGTTTTTAAAACCTATAGAGCGAATTACAAAAAACAGAAAAATAATTTAAAAATTTAAGTTTTCATTTTATAAACCTTAAACGTAAAAATTAATTTTTAAAACACTTATTCGAGCTTGCACGTATATAGTGTCACATTAACAGGTTACTTCAAGCCAGTTGAAGTTCTCAAAGAAATGGTTACTCGTTCTCACATAGTGTTGATTCAAAGATAATTAGGAATAAAAGTATATTTTGAACAAAATATTATATACATTTAGAGCCTTGTGAAAAGGACTATTGGTGGACATTTTGAAGAATGTCATCAGAAGTTAGAATACAATTGTCTTTTGCATAAATTGAAAGAACGAATATTAATTCGAAAACTTATCTTTTAAATAAACCAAATGTCATTACAGAAAATTATGAACTATACATATACACACACACACAACCTACACATATTTCAATAACACCCCAAAACACATCCGAATAACATAGTGGATATCCACTTAAAAAAGTGGGGATCATTCCAATATAGTTGTGTCCTGTACGTATAATTATTCGCCGTTTATAATTGCTGAAAAGTAGTCACGTAATGAACATTAAACCGTCATCCTCCTTCCCATATTCTCTAAATCATCACGCAATCTCACCATACCAATTTCATTGAAGTGGATCACACAGTTTAACCAGATAATGACGAGAATAATTACGTGCCCTGCACGTAGTAAACGTGATAAAAATGGAGTAGAAGATATTCAAAGGGAAAATCACTAAGCTTTAAAATGCTGCTTGTTAGACTATTTTAAGCACATTTGTGTTACTTCTATAACGCCTTGAACAAAACCCGTTATAAGCAACAAAAAAAAACACTCAAACTTAAATTAAATATTGCTATAAAAAAACAGTAACAGAAAATTATATAGAAAAATAAATATTTTCTTTAAAAAAATTGAACAGAAATAATAATCTTAATTGTGATTGTAGAGTTTTTCAAAGCGTTTGGTATCATTTAACTCCTTTTTTTTTCCCCACGAAGGGTAGCCGGAAAGTGAGGCACACAAATGCCCAAATTATTATCTCGCTTATGGTTTGAAAGTGAAAATGCGCCAGAATAAAATGTTTCGTTGTCTAACAAACCTGCATATATCTTGCTTCATCAAAGACAAGGAATTATCATACAATCTGTGCGATGCAGCCTCGTGCAGGTCAGTAGGAATCCACAGACACTAACTGACCTTCAAAATTAACTGCAGTGGCGCGCAGGAAGACTTGCGTATCTGGTGCGTAGTTTCTGTAAATTTTGTTCTGAGAAATATCTATCGTTTTAGTTTAACAGTCACAAAATTAATCATGCACATGCGGAAAATTTAGAAGGAATTAATCCTAAGATTATAGAATAATTTTTACTCAAAACTTCTTCCAATACCCAATTTGTCGTTTCGTTGATTCCACCTTTAAAAGTAAGTTTATTTTATTTCATCACAACAACTCCACTCTAATGGTACCATCAGCCAACTGAACAAAAATATTCATTTTCACTATGTGCTTAATCAGAGAATTCTACTCACTTTGACTCGTCTGCAAGTGCTACGAGTTGTAGTCAACTTCGTTCTGTTCCTTACCGCAGTAATCCAGTGCAAGGTACGTCCACACTCGCTCTCTCACCCGCAGGGTGCTCAAATACGTGTGTTACGGGGCGAGTCCCACCTCAAAACTTCGCAGGTTATAGAGCGAGGGTGGGCGTGTTTATTCCGATGCATTTAGCCCAATCATGATCCAGCAGCAAAAATGCAGCAGCTGCATAAAACTTCTGCAACAATTCTAAATATATTTGAAGTTTATGAAGAGTATGTGAAGTAGTAGAGCAAAGTTGATTTAATAATAAACCAATCTCCCTGTTCCTGCCATCTTGAGATTTGCGGCAGCTTGAAAGTAGCCTTGTAGGCGGCTCTGAGAAGGCAACTGTGAACAATCAATATGTTAGATAATTTTTAAAACATTTATTATAATGCTTAATTATAATTTAAATAGTGACACGTGAACAATATGATTAAAATAATTTTAAAAATCTCGTTATTTAGTAATCATTTTTGGGTATCCATCTCCATTTATTGTTATTTAATGTAAAGACGAATGTTTGAACTAATTTCTTACATTATACAAATATTTTATAAATTAACGGTTAAAATTATTACGCAGCCTAATATATACACTGTTTAATAAACAAGTCAATCAAATATGTTGCTAACGTTTACTGTACTTATTAAATTTGATAGTTTTTAAATAAAATTATGAAGAGCCCTAAAATTGGGTCTGACTGAGACAATGAACATATTCTGGAATATTTTAATTATCTTTAAAAATTCGTTTTAATAAAAATAAACACTCCATTTTATTATTGCCACCCTAGCAAATGTGCATGCAACGTCATTAAATATTACTCGTTAATTATACATTAAATTCTCCGTAAACCCTATCGATTACAGACCCAAACAATCTAATGGAAAGAAAAAACACCAAAGCAAAAAAAAAAAATAAGTTCAGTAACAAATTAAAGCTCTACATCGCCCACATGGCCTTTAAATTAATAAATTCAATCGCCCATTCACCCCAACAAAAATCAGTCCATTATTCCATTAAAAAAATGCACGATACACCCTTTCTTCCACACAATGTACTACCTAAGCGCTCACCTGCCAACCCTTTAAAATCCAAATTGAAAGGTTTTGAGATCCCAATAGCTTCAAAGCGACACCACACAATCGACATTCGCTAAATAGTGAACCACTGATCGCCCAATCTCGAGCATTTGATGGGCTCGACGAACGTTCGCTTCCTTTATATCCCTAAGACCGACATGCGGTGAGGTGGGCGAGAACTGAATGTTCGTCTCTCGCCAAATACTCGTAGCAAGCATCCATACTACTAGGGATTCTGCGTGCAGTCGCCCGCTACTTACCGAAAACAGATGTGTGGAGCCACCGTTCAATTAAAGAGTGCCTTCAAACTACCCCACCCCCCCTATCACGCCTGGTCTCTGAACGCCATGTAAGTAGCTTACTTGCGCATAAGAACACCGCGAATTGCGTATGATCGCTGCGTGGTGCCGAACGCGAACCACCAATTGAAACATCTGTTCCAACGGCATTTCGAACATTTTAACCACGAGTTCGAGAAACGAGTGCGTGACGCACAGGAAGGCTCGAGCACAGTCAGTTCGGCGTGAAGAGCGCATATGAGGACGACTAAGGCGTCAGGTATATGGCAAACCACTCCGTACGCCGAACGCAAGGCCACCATCACTGCGGGGGGAGGGAGGGAATAGGGCGACACCGGCGCCGACACCTGTGAAGGCCTAAGGCACCGGGACTCTCCCCCGCGCCCTAGCGAGCTCTTATGCGCGCGCAAGCTACAGACACGAACGCTTGTTCATTGCCGTTTTCCTTCGGCAACATCATCCTCACGGATTCTAATACACCCCCCCCACCTCACGTCCTAAGCACTCGAACCGTAACAGTCAGCGCCATCCTAACGCTCTACATACAGCAAGGCTAAAGAAAACCCATACCCCGTACAACCAACAAACAACCCACATTTACCCAAATAATTAAAACGCTACAATCTCCTTCAGCCAAGCAAATGACTACTCTTTCACTAACCAAACGATCTAATAATTTCAGTTCTCGAACCACCTACCGCTACATTTCAATAACCAACCAGTTACACATGCAAGAAACACTAATTGACACCCTCCCTGTCTTCTTTGGCAAATACCATCGACTAAAGAGGAATTTTACCCCGAGCGTTTCTGCGTATTGCCTACAGAGATGCCTTCTATAGCGTGCCACAGGAGGTACCCATGGTTGCATACACATTTAACGTTTTGCATACTTACACAATCTCATAAATAACTTAACTCTGCAAATCTGTCTATAATGGAAGCCGTCCTCCAAACCTCACGAACTGCAGACATATGTTGGTTTGTCACTTGTCTACTTTTCTCTGCTGCTCACAATATTGCGCCAAAAGGGCATACTCAAGACGCCCGCTTGCTACCCTGAGGCTCCCTTGTTACCCCGAGCAGAAGGCGAGTAGCTTGTTCACAATAGTAGAGTTGGAGTACACTTCGCAGAATTCACCTGGAACAAAAAAGTCACACCTAACTAACAGACGAAGGGGGGAGGTCACGATCA